AGCCCACGTGAGGTGGAGCGCCCTTCCCAGAGGTCTTCTGTGGAGGGCGACCGCAGGGTGGCGTCCCCGCTGGGGGCTGCCTGCTGGTCTGTGTTTCATTTGGGAGCCCACATCCTGGCCTGCTTCTCTGATGGAGGCATTTCTGCTTCGACCCCAGGACTGGTCGCCATAAAGGACGCCCATGATATCGAGACCAGGCTTAACGAGGTGGAGAAGCTTCTCAAGGCCATCATCAGCATGCCTCGCAAGGTGGGGGCGCAGCGGGGGTGCTGGTGGGCAGGTGGGTTGGCGGGCGCCCTCCTGGAGGCATGGGGGGTGGGGCGGGGCCAGGAGCCAAGGAGAGAGCGCCTCCTTGGGCTCTGGGAGCTCCAGTGTTTTCTCCCTTGGGAAGAAGCGGAAGCAAGGAGCTCACAGTTTACTGGAAAGTGAGGCAGACGTGTGTGAAACACCGGCACAGGCCTGGCACATGGTCCCCGTCCCGCCTGCCCCAAGCCCCGAGCCCCCCCAACCCCTGGACCATCGCCTCCATCCCGCGGGAGGAACGTGTGTAGGAAGGAACGTGTTTCCTCCCAGTACTCCAGGTCAGAAGTCGTGCTCACCTTCTTCGAAAGATCGCCCCTGGATCAGGTGTTAAAGAATGACAACGTGCATAAAATTCAACCCAGCTTTCAGAGTCCGGTGAAGATCTCAGGTGAGACCTGCAGGGGAGGTGCGGGGTGGGTGTGGGGACAGCGCTGCCGTGGGCGGCCGAGGGGTCCGGAAACCTTCCCAGCCCACTGTCCACGTGCTGGGCATGCCTGCCCACCTGGGGGCCCAGAAAGCAGACCTGGCAGAAGGACGGAAGCAGAGGAGAGGAGCTGCTTCCAGATCTTGTGAAACGGTGTGCTTCTCCTGCTGGCCTGCGGCTTGCCCGCTGCCTGCTTCCAGAGCTGTATAAATCGGAACTTATTAAAAAAAGCAGTCTATGAGGAAAGCATTAATGAGGCATTGTGAAGCGAATGGCTGGAATCCATCATCAAGCCCGCAACAATGCGAGTTCAGCTCGTGCGGCATTGCCTTTGTTCTGGGCTTTAGGGCAGGTGGGACAGAAAGGGACGCTCGGCTTGGGGCTCCTCAGTCTGGGCCTTGGGCCGCGCCTTCTGGCAACAGTCAGCAGCGGTAGGAGATGGTCCTGCAGGTCTCAGGAGAGCGAGGGGAAGCCAGGGCTCAGCCCGCTGCCAGCTTCCTCTGATCCGCGCCGCATGCGTCAGTACAGCGCTAGACTCTCCTCGGTGCTGCAGGCGAGGCTCTGAGGAGCGTTTTGTAGGGAGAGGCCTGGCCCAGGAGCCCAGGGACTTGTCCCGGCCCGGGCGAGGTCCTACAGGAAAACCCCCTCGGGGGCCGGGGAGGGTGTTCCCGCCAGAGGCAAGATGTACCTTCCTCGTTCACTGAGTGACGAAATGAACGTATCCAGACGAGAAGAGGGTCAGTTCAGAGGTCCTTTCCAGGACATGGTTCCTCACAGCAGCACCGCCAGCCCCTGAGGTCCTGGCTGCCGAGAGCGGCCCTGCTCCCCAGTCTTGGCCCGTATTCAGGGTGTGCACAGACTCGGGGGTCCCCAGGCACAGAGTCTCCAGCGGCCAGGCCTCCCCTCGGGGATGCATCGTCAGTACCCGCGGGGGCCACCCCGGATCTGACTTCCTGGCTCATTGACTTGTTGATTTCCTGTGGTCCTGGGCAGGTCGGGATGTGGCCCCTCTGGGTCTCCCGTCGCTGCGGAGCCCCCCTCAGTCCGGGCACTTACCTCCTCCCCGCCGGGCCTGTGTCCTCTCTCCCCGCAAACCCTGCCCATGCACGTCCACTCCGGTCCTGCTTAACTCCCCTCGCTCCTGAGAGCGCCCATGCCCGCTCTCACCACCCTTCCTCCCAGACTCCTCGGCAGCTTCTGGCACCTCTGATGTGGCCTCTCTGGAGGCAATGCCGCCTGGGGGGCAGCCCTGCCTTGGCGCACACTCAGGCCTCCGGTTGACCGGCTAGGGGCCAGGGCCCCACTAGGTGGCATCAGGCGCTCGTGGCAGAGGGACCAGCCGCCTCCCGGGCCCTTGGTTCTGACAAGCTCTCTGGCCCCTTTGGCGAGGCTTTGGATCAATGGAACCAGAAACATTCTTCACCCCCTGTTAATCTAAAAGCTTCTTACCATCTCTAAGAAAACTGTGCAGCTTAAAATGAAGCATACCCCTCGGCCTTTATCTGGTTACTTAGATGAACTGATATCAGCCACAAAACCCAGAGTATTAAGGTTTGGGAAGCCTGGAAATATAATTTAATTTTTTATTAGCCAGGCATTTGTACAGTCTCAGCCTTAATTTTCACCAGCGTTTGTTAGATTCTTTATAAAAACTATCTCATTTAACGCCACCCCCCAGCCCCCCAGTGCCCCTAGGATAGACACTGTTATTCCCATTTTACAGGCTGCTGCTGCTGCTGCTAAGTCGCTTCAGTCGTGTCCGACTCTGTGCGACCCCATAGATGGCAGCCCACCAGGCTCCCCCGTCCCTGGGATTCTCCAGGCAAGAACACTGGAGTGGGTGGCCATTGCCTTCTCCAGTGCATGCAAGTGAAAAGTGAAAGTGAAGTCGCTCAGTCGTGTCCGACTCTTAGCAACCCCATGGACTGCAACCTACCACACTCTTCCGTCCATGGGATTTTCCAGGCAAGAGTACTGGAGTGGGTTGCCATTGCCTTCTCTGATTTTACAGGCTGAAAAACAGCAAAGAGTAACCTCCTTCACAGGCTTAACTGGTATAACTGGAGTTTCCTGGAGGCCCAGCTGGCTTCTCTTCACCAACAATTAAGGAATGATTTGTGACAAATGTGTTTCGGGGTCTGGTTCCATTTTCTAGATTCCGGGTTCTAGAACTGCAGATCTCACATTTAATAAAGACTAGGAGATTCCCATATGAGGTGACTCTACTTGCAGCACTGATGTTTGTTTTCACTTGTAAGGTTCTTCCATCCCCCCGTTCCCCTGGAGAGGGTGGGAGACAGGGTTTGGGGTTGTCAGCTGGCTGTGCTGGGGTCGCTGAGGTTTTACATGCTTCCTGGGGCAGATTTGAGTCAGGTAATAAAAGCGGTGAAGAAGGTGTTCCTGGGTGCTCCCCTGCTGGTCCAGTGGTTGAGATCCACACTCCCAAGGCAGGGGCCTGGGGTCGGTCTCTGGTCAGGGAACTAAGATTCCACGTGCTGCATGATATGGCTCAAAAAAATGGCTTTTTAATTTTTAAAAAAGTGGCTCTGTGCTGTCCCGCGTTTCACACTGTGAGGTTGGGGGTCTTTCTCCCGCTGTCAGGGGTTGTCCTCCGTGGGTCTCTCCGCCCACTCAGGCACTTGTCAGCCTCTTCTCTGCAGCCGGTGGTGTCATTGACCCTGATTTCTTGCTGGTTTTCGGCTCCTTCTTCTGACTCATGAGCTGTCTCAGGCGGTGAGCTCTGGCTGGGCTCAAGCGGGAGGGCAGGTCGGGGATGAGCCGCTTGCTGGTGCTGCTCACAGGGGGCAGATCCAACGGCCCTCCTGGCAGGGCCGGGGAGACGTGCACTATCCCTTCTCCAGAAAGTCAGAGGAAATTTCAGCCATTACTTGGCAAACCTGAGTGATGAACGTCATTTCATCCTGGGAGGGGGAGGAGGAAGCCTAGTTTTCTGTCTTCTTTGTTGCGTAGTTTCCCTAAATGTCTTCCTATGGAGAGAAACTGAGAAAATTGAGAACCAAGAACCTAAAATACCTATAAAGGTTAAAAGTAGGTACGAAGTTATAGTCTTGCTTATTTAAAAAGAGCAAATCTGTCCATGGGGATAAAATAATCTCAATGACGGTTATGGTATAAGAAATAAAAGGAAACAGTGCCCAGACAACCAGGGCATCAGACGCCCACTGAGACGGCAGTACGGGACGTCCTGTGGCCTGACCGGGGCAGAGGACACTGCTCTGAGCTGTCCGCGTGCGTCAGGCGCTGCATGGAAGACGGTGGTCACTTGGGAAAGCAGCAGGAATCTGGAGTGTGTTTTAAGCACATTTCTAAGGTGAGGTAGGTGGAAGGCCTGAGCGTGGGGCTTGCTGACCAGGGATGGCGGCCGGGGACGAGCCAGCGTTCAGGCAGCTGCCGCCCTGCTAATGCCCCCCCCACCCCCCGGTGCCTATTCTTGGGGTCTGCAGTCTACTGAGGGAAGGGCTGGGCACGCAGTCCAGGAAGTGTCAGCCGGAGAAGGGGGAAGAGAGATGTGTGAGCCCCAAATGTCAGAACTTCAAACCCTTGTGAATTACCTCCCTCATTTCTCTTGTTTTCAGAAATCATGAGGTCCAATGGATTCTGTTTAGCAAATACGGAAACAATCGTTATTGACCACAGTATTCCAAACAGCAAAGACCAGCACGGGGCTGCGGACCCCACGGAGCACCTGTAAGTGTGCTGACTGTCGCTGGCGGGTCCCCGGCTGGGTTCGCGGGTTCTGCCCTGTCTGTGCTCACGGCCGGGAGCCTGCACTCCGCCGGGCAGCCCTTCCCTTCCCAGGGGCTGGCTCTGGTGGGCGGGGGTCAGGCTCCTGCCCAGCCTCACCGCCTGCCTCCCCACGCAGGTTTGAGGGCGGGGGCGAGTTCCCCGCCGAGCTGGAGGATGGGGACGACCCGGCGGCCTACGTCACCAACCTGTCCTATTACCACCTGGTGCCCTTCGAGACGGACATTCTGGACTGAGGCCCCCCCCCGGGCTCCTCCCCCGGCCCGCCCGCCCCCAAGGAGACCCATGTCTCCAACAGCCGGGAGTCAGGTCGGGGGTCCAGCGCCCCTGCTGCTTCTAGGGCTCTCCCCGCCTGCGTCTGCATCCCAGGACGTGCCCCATCGAGCCTGGACTGACCACAAGTGCCTGCAAGACGGCCCGGGGCCAGGACTGGACACCCGGCCCTCCCCCAGGAGGGCATCTGGCCACCCTCCCCCCACCACGTGCCAAGTGGGATGTTTCAAGTGAGATGTTGCTGGGTCCCCGGGTTCTGGACGACACGGGGGGTGTTCTCTCACCCAGGTTTCAAGTGAGATGTTGCTGGGTCCCCGGGTTCTGGACGACACGGGGGTGTTCTCTCACCCAGGTTTCCCGGGACCAGGACGTGTGGCTTCCAGTCCTGCATCCTACCTTCTTCCCAGAAGCCGGGGGCTTCGTGTCAGCCCAGGGGCGTTGGCGGAACGTTGGTTGTGAGTGGGGTGTCGGCTGCAGGCACGAGGGACCCACTGGCTGGTGCCCACGTGGGGGACACAGAGAGGAAGGAGCCCATCTGGCCTCCTGCGAGGGGTGAGGGCCCTGGGCCCTGCCCACCACCGAGCTCTCGGAGATGCAGCCGCCGCGTCAGCCTGGAAGCCGGGAGCCAGGAGGCCACCGAGTGCTCCGGCGGGTCGCCCGCTGCCCTCGGGGAGAGTCTGGGTTCTGTGTGTTCATCTCCTCACAGAGTCTACTAACGACCAGAATTTGCTCGTGTAAATAATAGTAAATTATTGAGAATCCTAATTCTTTTACACAGTCTGTTTTTTAATCTATTTTCATGAAATAAAACACACTGCTCTCCTCTGATCTGTTTATCACGTGGCTCTTGTCACTGCCCCAGGGCCAGGGGACCCCCGCACACTTCCGGCCTGCTGCCCCAGCGCTCGCTGTCCTTTAGGAAGTGTGTTCTTGCCCTGGGGAGTGATCTGTGCAAAAAAGAAGTGAAAGTTGCTCGGTCGTGTCTGACTCATTCGACCCCGTGGACTATCCAGTCCGTGGGATTCTCCAGGCCAGAATACTGGAGTGGGCGGCCTTTCCCGTCTCCAGGGGATCTTCCCAACCCAGGGATCGAACCTGGCTCTCCCGCACTGCAGGTGGATTCTCTCCCAGCTGAGCCACCAGGGGAGCCCAAGAATCCTGGAGTGGGGAGCCGAGCCCTTCTCCAGCAGGTCTAAACTGGAAAGGAAGCAGGTGGTGTGTGCTTTTGACTTTGGGGCTCGCCTTCCTGCGAGCTCCCCGCTGGCGGCCCCGGGCAGCTCCTCCTGTGACCCGGCGGGCAGCGTGGCCTTCCCGTGGCTCCTGCCCCTCCCGGGCCTCCAGCCGCGCTCAGCTGGGGCAGCCCACTTCCTAACAGGCAGTCGGGTGGCCAACGGGGTCGACAGCTGCCTCCTTCTCTTGGGGGTTAAATTCAGTTCTGAATGGATAGGGCCTCCTCCTGGCAGGGTTAGAATCAATCACACTCAGCCAATCAGCGTCCAAGTTCCAATCGCTGGTTCCTGGGTATCTGCCTCATTATCCATGTTCCACGGGGGGCTTCTCCCTAGCTGTGGGGCCTCAGTAGCGGCAGCTCCCGGAGCTCCTCGGCTCACGGGGCCCAAGTCACCCCTCAGGGCCCAGCTCAGCTCCCCAGGCCCACCTCAGCTTTCACACAGAACGCTTCACTGTTTTCCAGTCAGCGTGCACCGAGATCTCTAAGGTAGAGGTCAGATTTTTGCATGTTTTCCTGTAAAATACATCAGAGCATTCTCTGACTTCCTTTCTTTTTCTTTTTTTTCCTGGAAAAACATGATCTTCTAGACGCGTTCGCTGTGTGCCCAGATTTGAAAGAACCGGACGTACACATCAGTATTTTCAAGCGCGGCAGTAAACGGGGACCGTGCAGACTCCTGCTGAGGACGCCACTGTGGGCGGTGGGGACTTGGCGGGGACTGGCATTGTGTGGGGAAGCTGCTGGTCATGTGGGCGTTGTGGGCACAAAGCGACCAGTCCACCCAGCCCTTCCCAGAAGCCGGAAATCTGACTTTCTATGTGAAGTACCCCATTTAGAAGTGCTTCAAAAAGCAAAAGTAACAAGATATGACCAAGTAAAAGAATCAGGAATCTGGGGCCTCTGGACTATTAGGGAATCGATGCCAGAGGGCTTAGGTGGATGTGAGAAGTCTGCTCGCTGGTCCACACGTCCCTGAGTGGGAAAGTCCACCAGTGAGTTGAAGCTGTTCGGTGAGGGTGGAAATTGGAGGAGAGGAAGGGAAGACATTAGATCAAATACCAGTGTAAATACCCCCGGGGACCAAGACTGCAGAGCTGATGGAAAACACCTGATAGCACAAAAAGTCAGCCAGCGAATTAGGAGTTCGGGGTTAGCAGATAACAAGCTACTGTGTCGGAGAAGGCAATGGCACCCCACTCCAGTCCTCTTGCCTGGAAAACCCCACGGATGGAGGAGCCTGGTGGGCTGCAGTCCATGGGGTCGCTAAGAGTCAGGCACGACTGAGCGACTTCACTTTCACTTTTCACTTTCGTGCATTGGAGAAGGAAATGGCCACCCACGCCAGTGTCCTTGCCTGGAGAATCCCAGGGACGGGGAAGCCTGGTGGGCTGCGGTCTATGGGGTCGCACAGAGTCGGACACGGCTGAAGTGACTTAGCAGCGGCAGCAGCAAGCTACTGTGTAAAGAAGAGATAAATACCGAGGTCCTGCTATATAGCGCAGGGGACTGTATTCAGTATGTCGTAATAACCTGTGTTGGAAAAGAACCTGAGAAAGACTAGATCATTTTCTATTTTACCAAATCACTTTGCTGGACACCAGAGCCTGCACCAGTTTGCGTCCCCGCTGACGGTGCAGGTGGGCTCCTTGGTCTGCACACCGTCTCCAGCATCTATTATTTGTAGACTTTTTCACGACGTCCATTCTGATGAGTGTGAGGCGATGCCTCGTTGCAGTTTTGATTTGCATTTGTCTGACAGTCGTCGACGCCATGCATGTTTTCGTGTGCCTCTTGGCCTTGTTCGAGTCTCTGGGCTGTTGGGTGGGTTTGGAGCCACTGGTCACCCAGTTTCCGGTTGAGAACACGGGCGTCTTTCGCTGAAGTCCGTTTCTTCTGAGAAGCAGGTCTGGCCAGTGTGTGGGGCCCGGGGACATGGTGGCTGCTGACCACAGGCCGCACCTCCTCTTCATGGTTTTGAAAATACGTTTTTATTTTTGGAACTGTTTGCTGTCCTTTCCTGAAAGGGAGCTTAATGAGCAGGTACCCCTCTGGCGTCCCACCCCACCCACGGGAAGGGTTTGATTTTTGCCCATTTCAGCTTCTCGAGTGTTTCATGGAAACAGACAATGTCAAAAGTAGGGCTTTGAGAAGCTGGAACAGCTGGAGTGCGAAGTCCTCCCGTGACTCGAAACGTTGACTCACTGAGAGCAGTCTGATCGAGCCTCATCCGCCTCCCACTGGGTTATTTTTTTTCATATATAATTTGATGAGTGGAGTTGATTTGACTGAGTCAGCCTGCTGTTTTGCAGAGAAAAGACTTCAATACAATCCACGAAGTCAGCGCTCTGAGCACTTAGGCAGAGCTGCCCTGACTTCTCAGCCCTGAGGCAGCGATGCTGGGAGGGGACTGAAATGACCAGCCTCCAGCAGGCCACCGCGGGAGCAGGGGAAGACATGCAGCAGGTGGAAAACTCTGAACAGAGCGTAGGGAGGCCGGGCAGGCGGGGCAGGAGGGCAGGAAGGACTGGTCACCCGGAGGTAAGGGCCGCGGGCCGAGAGTGAGACTCAGCCCTGGGCCTGAAGGTGCGGAAACGGGGCCTGACCGCTCAGTCTCCGGGGAACTCGACAGGGCGGGCAGCTCACAGGCCAGTCTGCGTCCCCTCCCGGCTGCGTGGGGGGGAGGGGGGCGGAGGGGGACACCCGGGTGGGCAGTCTCTGCTGTCCAGGCTGGTCCCAGCGCAGAGTTGAGTAGAGCTGCTTTCTTCAGGGCTGGACTCCGCAGGCCTGGGCTCGGCCTCCAGACAGGAGCTGAGCAGTTCTCCGGCTCCAGAAGTCCCTCGGGACCCTGGGATCCGACTAGATGAGCTCAGAGCCCTGGCATGGGGGGCTCACGCTTGCCATTCCAGCCCCTCAAAGATGGTCTGGGGCCTCCTCTCCCCCTAGTCGGGCAGGTTAGCCCACTCCCACCCCCACCCCTGCCGGGCAGTGTCCACTCTCTCGGGAATCTGGCTCCACTGGACCTTCGGGCACAGGTGGTGGTGGGGGATGGTTGCACCAGCGCTTCTCCAGAAGGAAAATAAGAGAAAGGAATGAGGAAGTGCAATTGACACGCTCTGTCCGGCGCATCTGAGGAAGGAGGACAGGTGGGACCCGCCCCTGAAGCTGACCGGGGCCCGGGGGCCGGGCCATTTAGCTTCCTGGGTCACTAGAAGCCAGAGGCAAGTTTGGATTTGGAAGTCCCCAAGTCGTCCGGGGAAACTGCTAGATTTGGGGGGCCCCTCCCCGTGGCAGGGGGGCAGGGCCTGGGTGCCCTCGAGGCTGCTGGCTGGGGGCAGCCCCCGCCACGTTTGCCCCCAGGGAAGCCTGGGCTGGGGTGTGCTGGGGCCCCCAGGCCCCGGACCTGCAGGCCTTGCCTGACCCCTCTGCTCCATGTGGAGCCCGGACCCCCTGCCCTCGTCCGGCAGGGCTCCGCTCCCACAGCCCACCTGAGCCGGAGCCCCATCCACGCACGGGCCCAGCAGCACGGCCGGTCAGCTCTCCACCATCACCACAAGGGGCTTCTGGTCACCAGTGGGCTCATTACCTCTATGTTCTGTTTACAGACCTGTGTCTCACCGGGCCCCAAGCCCTCGGTTCAGAGGCCACGTAATCCATTCTGCGTGGCCGACTCTGCACGGGGACGTGAAAACCAGTTTGGGTGATGAATTGAAGAGAAACTGGTGATAAGTTGAATGGAATATCCCAGAGAATTCTCTCTTCACAAATCTTTTCCAAAAATCTAAGGAGCCTCAATATGCTTCACCATTTACTTGATTATCGTCCTGGTAATCAGTTTCAAAAATGAGCTCTGAGCAGGACCGGGGGTCTGTGGGTCTGGAAGATTCACCCCCAGCCTGATGCCAGGGACTCGCCTGGCCTCTCGGGACCCCGGCTCTTTCCTTCTCGCACACGATGTCACCAAGCCCGTCGTGGTTTCTCACTGTCACTCCCTGTCCTGATTCTCCACCTGGAACAGGTTCAAGTGCTATGACTAACGTTAATCACTGCTCGTGATGGTTATTACCGTTTAGGAGTGAAGTGGTTCTGGCTGTAATTCTCCTCTTAACAGTCGTGTACTAGTGATAAGGGTGGAAGTTGCTGTGGTAAATCCCTAGGCAGCAGTTGTACCGTCTTTGGAGCCAGATGGACAGGGTTCCTATCTCAGCTATACCCCCAAAGCGTAACTCTGAGCCAGTCCTGGGAGCACGCTGTGCCTCAGTTTACCCACCTGGAAAGAGGCGTGATCACAGGTTCTTCACAGTCTGATACCAGAACCCAGTGAAAGGAAGCGTGGGAATGCTTAGCAGTGTCTGGAAAACAAGTTGTGGCCAATAGGTGATGGATTCTGTCACTGGACACCCATGTTAGGAGCAATTCATAGTGGACTTTGCAGAGGGTGTGTTCCCAGCCAGTTTCAGAGGGAAACTTCCAACAGGTACAAGGTAT